TGTGTGGCAGAGAGAGGTGGAGAAATCACTCGCTACACATCAGAAGAGGTGGGAAATGAGCACTACACAGACCAGAAGGTGCTGCTGAGTTCATGTCTGGAAACAGCACCAAGGACCTACAAACAAAATGAGCAGCCTTCCACTTTAAGGCTCTGCCAACACCGCTACAGCTCTAACAAGACAGCCCCTGTTCTACTCTCCTGGGGAAGCCTTTCCAAAGCATCCCTCACACTGGACACGGCAATAGGTGGGATGGGGTAGGAAGGTGAGGTGCCTGCGCAGGCTCATTCACAGCCCCCCTCCTCCCTGCCCCTGCTCACCTGTTCCGAACTTGGATGGGCTCCACGTCAAAGTAGGGGCGCAGGATGTCAATGTTGGCGTAGAGACTGAAGGCCTTGGAGGCCTGTCTCTTACCCGCCTGCCACATCTGGGGGGGAAAAGAGGTGGAAACTTGCAGTAGACTGACTGACCACTGCTGCCACCCTCCCACCTCCCAGGGGACTACCCCAGGGCTGGAGCACTAGGCAACTGGAAGCAGCCAGGATACAGAGCAGTTGTGCGAAAACAAGACAGGAGCCACGGTCCCAGGAAATGCCCTGAAATGACTTCCCGGGGGGCTACCCAATGTCTTGCTCCCACCACCAGCCTGGTGCAACTATTGCCTGGTCATCCCCTGCAACTGCAAGGGGCACTGGAGTGTCTCAGGGTCAACCGGAGGGCTGCAAGCTGGGCAGAGACCACAGGTGTGTGTACACGTGTGCATGTGTCCATGAATGCACATACATGTATACACATCTGTGTGCGTGTGCAGCTTCATGCGCATGCATGTATGAGCTTGCCCGCGTACACATGTGTACCTGTGGGTACATGCCTTCCAGCCACCCACCCTCTATGTGCTATGGGGCCAGCAACGCCGGCACCCTTTGGGAAGGCAGGCGACAGTGTGTGCATGTGTGGGGTGGGATGGCGCCCAGCCCTGCCTCACCTGATCGGCCACCTGCCGGCCCAGCTGCCCGCGGAAGCCCTTCATGCCCAGGAACTCGCTGTCCTCCTCATCCCCTACTGTCGCCTCAGCCTCCTCCTCCTCCTCTTCCTTCATCCGCTGGTGCATCTCGCCCATGTCCTCGAAGCTTGACCCGGACGTATCGTCCATGTTCTCCATGTCGATCACCGCTGCCCCGCTGCTGCCGCCAGCCTGCGCACACCCCGCCAGCCTGTCAGCACTGCTGCGGGCAAGCCTGTGCCCAGGATACCCCCAGCCCCTGGCATGACCTCCCCCATACCCTAGCACACTCCACCGGCTCATGATAACTCCCTCCCCCACTGGATACACCCTTCCCCCCCATACCCCGAAGTACCCTCA